GGGGTTTCACCATGTTGACCAGGATGGTCTCGATCTCTCGACCTCGTGATCCACCCACCTCGGCCTCCCAAAGTGCTGGGATTACAGGCTTGAGCCACCGCGCCCGGCCTAAAATTAAAATTTCGACTGAGTGTGGTGGCTCCTGTCTGTAACCCTGGCACTTTGGGAGGCCAAGACAGGAGGATCACCTGAGCTCAGGAATTTAAGCCAACCCCGGGCAATAGTGATATCTCATTTCTACAAAAAAATTTAAAAGTAGCTAGGCATGGTGGCGCACTTGTAGTCCCAGCTACTCCGGAGGCTAAGCCAAGAGAATCGCTTGAGCCCAGAAGACTGAGCTACAGTGAGCCATGATCTTGCCACTGCACTCCAGCCTGTGTGACACAGTGCCACCCTGTTTCAAGAAAAAAAAAGAGAAAATTCTAAGACATATGTAAAGCAAATATGTAACAAATTATTGACAGAATACTTAAGTTTTGCTAGGTGAGAAAATTTCATTATATAATTGCACAATCTCCCCTGCTAGTTCTTAGAATCTCCAAATCTAAAATTCTAGATTCTAGATGAGATCCCTGCTCTAGCTTCCTCACTGAAGAGGCCCCAAAATGCGCCCCCTAGCGGTGCTCTCCCTGAAAATGCGGTACCACCATGCGTTTGGGGACATTAGCTATGAAACAGATCAGCAGGGAACCCTAAAAAAAAAAAACAAAAAACCCACCTCACTCCCAAACTTCAAGTACGGAGGAGGCAGAAGGAGCAATACAGCTTCCTGGGAGGAATATAAAGTAGTGATTAAAACTATATCGGTGCTGGGGTTGGATTGACCTGCTTCTGATTTCACCTGATTCACATTGATCAGCTATGTGATACTGGCCAAATCACTTGGTGTCTCTGAGCCTCAGTTTCTTCATAGATGAAATGGGAATGGTAATAGAACTTCATTCATAGGGTTTTGGTAAGAATTGTATTAGCCAATTTGTAACATGCTTAGTTCAATAAACAAAGGATGTTAATATTATGATCCAAAAATGCTTTTAAAAAAGCCACCCACAAACCACCCACCCCACACCCACTTTCTCTATTTAGCTACACAAGGAACCCGTAAGGCACTGCCATTTTCAGGTGGCATTGTATGCAGTCTTCTATGGATGTGGCCAAGAAACAACCCAAGTGCTTAGTAAACAATAGGTCCCAGAAAACACTTCCTGAATCAAACGAGCTGCAAATTCCTTTGCTCAAAGCCTCCTCTCTCCCTTTTCCTGATAGTAAAAGATTTTCTAAAGTATTAACATATATATGTGAATAACCATCAGAAAGTTAAAAGTTGAAAAAAGAACTCAAATTCCCACCACCCAAAGGGCAATGTAACATTTTGGCATGTTTCTTTTTCATTTATTTTTACATTGTTGAGCTAATATTATGCTTTATATAATTTGACATTCTACATTTTTTGCTTAGCACATTATAAGTATTTTCTATGTTTTATAAATGACTTCAATGTATAGCTAATATTCTATTATATGGGAATATTTACATTAACCATTTTCCTATTGTTAGATTTTTAGAATGTTTCCAATTTTTATTGCAAATTACCTTTTCTTTTCTTTTTGTTTTGAGATAGAGTCTTGCTCTGTTGCCCGGCTGGAGTGCAGTGGCAGGATCCCAACTCACTGCAACCTCTGCCTCCCAGGTTCAAGCAATTCTCCTGCCTCAGCCTCTTGAGTAGCTGGGACTACAGGCACAGGCTACCACGCCTGGCTAATTTCTGTATTTTAGTAGAAATGGGGTTTCACCTTGTTGGCCAGGCTGGTCTTGAGCTCCCGACCTCAGGTGATCCACCTGCCTCGGGCTCCTAAAGTGCTAGGATTACAGGCGTGAGCCACCATGCTTGGCTGCAAATTACATTTTCTGAGTTTCAGAAACATATATATACAAACACACATATATATGTTACATATGTATTATATTTGTGTCCATATATATTATGAGCTCATGAAAGAATAGAAACGTGTGTGGGTAGGGATGCCTTTTGCCTTTGGGGGTGAGATTGTTGGTGAGATGGGGCAAGGACTTGCACTTTTATGTTACCAATTCTTTTTTAAAAAAATACTGTTATTTTTTATTGATAATGAGAAATCCTAATCATATAGATTTAAGAGATACAATGTGATGTTTTGATATATGTTACAATGTGGGATAATTAAATCAGCATATTCCTTTATTGTTTAAATCCTTTAGAGCAAACAAGAAATACTTTTACATGTTTAATGAAAGGAAGTAAGGAGGAAAGGAAGAAAAGGAGAAAGGGAGGGAAAGAGAGAGGAAGGGAAGGAAAAAGGGAGGAGGGAAAGAAAGGAAGAAGAGGAAGGAGGAGGAAGGAAAGAAGACGCTCGCACCAATCCCATTTGTAAAGAGCCTGGGAGATCGAGAGCCAGGGAAGCAGCTAGGCAATAGGTCTCTTTATATATTTTATAGAACAAGGAAAAGCATAGATTTATAAATGAGAAAGTAGGTGGGTCTGTGATTTAATTTCTCTGAGCAAAAAAGGAAATAGCACACTGCAAACAATCATAACTCAACTTACTGATTGATTTTGGATTCTGTGGTGTTTCCAGCTTTGTCTCTCAATTTGATCGTAATGTCCCCTCTTCTGATGTTCCTGTTCCATGTTATAATATCCACAAAGTAATGATACACTGCAAAACAGAGAACGCAGTAAGAGAGAGATACTCCCAGCTGATCCCCTGAAGGGTTTCTAAAAGCTGAACCTCCTAATAACTGAGTCTCTTTCTCTCTTTCTTTCCAGTTTCTCTGCAAAGATCCAGGGCACAAGTTTCTGATATTCCCTTCTCCTCTCTTTGGTAAAGATGGCATGAGTCACAGCAGTTCACTGGTTTCCAGTCACCATGATCAAGCATGATCGTTGAACCTGTGATTCCAGGTATTGTGAAGTCTCAGGGCCTATGGCACAATATGGTCCACCTCAGTTCCTGCCCATTTTAGACAGAACCCACTAAGGGGCCATTTGGAGACCCTCCATGGCTAAGACGGTTTTCCACAGTTCGGGCCATGTCCACCAGCCTATCCTCCCTCATGCTTTTCCCAGTCATGCCCAGCCACCTGCACTTCCTGCACTGTGAAGGCTCCTGGGCCTTCACCCACCGGGCACTCTTACTTTGCCAGCTCTGTGAACCTAGCTTTCAGGTTTCAGCCTAATGTCATTCCCCCAGGAGGTCTTCCCTGACTCCCAGACTAAGTCAGCTCTCCTTTCTTGAAGTTCCTGCCATACTCTGGACTCCCCCCGCCCATTAGTGCTCAGCATACTTTCTGTATTTACAAAATGCAAGAAAGGACAATAAAAATAAAGTGGCATTCCCTAACCAGCAGACTCAGAGAACAAAAAAAAGTGGTAAATATTTGGGTACATCTATACAAATATTGCCCGAATAGTGTCTTGTGGGGTTTAAAAAAAAAAAAGAGGCTGGGTACAGTGGCTCATACTTGTAATCCCAGCACTTTGGGAGGCCAAGGTGGGCAGATGACAAGGTCAGGAGTTCGAGACTAGCCTGGCCAACACGATGAAACCCTGTCTCTACTAAAAATACAAACATTAGCTGGGCGTGGTGGTGGGTGCCTGTAATCCCAGCTACTCGGGAGGCTGAGGCAGGAGAATGGCTTGAACCGGGGAGGTGGAGGTTGCAGTGAGCCGAGATCGCACCACTGCACTCCAGCCTAGGCAACAGAGCTAGACCCCATCTCAGGGGGGAAAAAAAGAACCCATAAAATTAAAACATGCTGCAACAGGAACTAATCAGGGAGATTACAATCCCACGAAGGAATAAAGGTCAGTCCTCGTCCTGGAGTTGCCATTTTATGGCCCAAATTGCTTCGGGCCTTGCCCCATACAGACCAGGCAGGTGCCAAATCCTGGGCTGCCACACAAGGGTCCAAAGAAAGAGGGAAACCCAGTGATCTGCAGGCTTTTTTTTTTTTTTTAAGTAAGAGTCTTTCTGTGTTGCCCAGGCTGGAGTAATAGTGATGTGATCTCTGTTCACTGCAACTTCCACTTCCGGGGTCCAAGCGATTCTCAGACCTCAGCCTCCTGAGCTGGGATTACAAGCGAGCACCACCATACCCAGCTAAATTATTTATTTTGTTTTGTTTTGTTTTGTATTTTTAGTAGAGATGGGGTGTCACCATGTTGGCCAGGATGGTCTCCAGCTCCTGGCCTCAAGTGATCTGCCCGTCTTGCCCTCCCAAAGTGCTGGGATTACAGGCGTGAGCTGCCGTGCCTGGCCTACAGATTCTTTTAAAAGAGTTGTTCACACCTGGCGTGGAGACTCATGCCTGTAATTCCAGCACTGAGGCAGGAGGATTGCTTGAGCCTAAGCGTTCAAGACCAGCCTAGGCAACATATTGAGACTCTGTCGCTAAAAGAAATAAAAAAACAGTTAGCTGGGCATAGTGGCCCATGCCTGAAATCCCAGCTACTTAGGAGGCTGAGGCAGGAGGATTGCTTGAGTCCAGGAGGTTGAGGCTGCAGTGTACCGTTATTGTGCCACTGCACTCTAGCCTGGGCAACAGAACAAGACCCTGTCTCAAAAAAAAAAAAAAAAATTAAAATAGGCCAGGTGTTCATGCCTGTAATCCCAGCACTTTGGGAGGCCGAGGCGGGCAGATCACCTGAGGTCAGGAGTTTGAGACCGGCTCGCCAACATGGCAAAACCCTGTCTCTACTAAAAATACAAAAATTAGCCAGGCATGGTGGCACACCTGTAGTCTCAGGTACTTGGGATGCTAAGGCAGGAGGATTGCTTGAACCTGGGAGGCAGAGGTTGCAGTGAGCTGAGATTACACTTCAGCCTGGGCACAGAGTGAAACTCTGTCTCAAAAAAATAATAATAAATAGTTGTCTCCAAGGAAAGTGAAAATGGGCACAAGACTATAGGAAAAATACATCTTCCCAGGGAAATTCTAGTTGCTTCCCAAGGCATCTAATCATCGGCTGCCCCATTTAGTTCCCATCTGGAATACTCAACCTCCTGATGCCTTTAGGTTATCATGTTTGCTTTAGAGCTGGAACTGACCTGTAGATATGGCTGGCACCTGATTTTTCCTAGTCTCAATTTCATGTCTTTTGGGGAATCAAGCGGTTTTCTGGAAGATGTTAGTGATTAGAATGATCATCCAGTGAAACTGAACAAGTCTGATTTGTTGAGATTTTATTAGATTCATATTTTTAAATTGTATTAAATCAAACCTAATATTCCAGAAGACAGGCATTATTACCCCCATTTTACCAGTCAGGACACTGATGAGAAGTCAAATGATTTGACCAACATCCCACAACCATTAGGTGGTAGACTCAGGATTCGACCTAGGCCCTTCCAGCTCCAAAGCTGATGCTCCATCGTGGCTCTCATTTGCCAGGAAGTAACTAGGAAGCTGAGACTTAGCCCTCCCCGAAATAAGAGTTAGGCAACAGCAAACCACCACATTCACCACTCACTGCAGAATGGCTTCTCCTCAGCTGTGTCAAAGAACGCCTTCGTCATTGGAGGATCTTTTTCCCTTAAATAGTCTTTCCAATTATCAGCATAATAGCCTATAAGACAAGTTGGAAAAAATGGAAGATTAACATGTATTATATAAACCATAAACGCAACTGAGGTAGCGAGAACAGTGGGTTTGACTGCATCCACCACCTCTGAGAGAACCTCCCTCCCTTCTCCATCCCCTGTGGTGAGGGCTCATGGGGCTACCCATCTTTCTGGCCTAAGAGCTGGAGGGCAGGCAACAGGACCCTCCAATGGTTTTCCGCCTTTACTGGTTCTCAGTAGCAGGGTGGGGGCTTAGGAGGTGGCACACCCTGGTATGGGCTAAAAATAACACTGACATTTGTCAGTAATACATTCATTTTTCTAGACTGAAACAGATTCAAGTTCATACCTAAAATAGCATCACTGTGGCAAAGCAATATGCTTTCTTTTTTTCTTTTTTTGAAACGGAGTCTTGCTCTGTGGCCAGACTAGAGTGCAGTGGCACGATCTCAGCTCATGGCAACCTCCGACTCCTGGGTTCAAGCGATTCTCCTGCCTCAGCCTCCCGGGTAGCTGGGATTACAGGCACGCTCTACCACACACCCAGCTAATGTTTGTATTTTTAGTAGAGATCGGGTTTCACCATGTTGGCCAGGATGGTCTCGATCTCCTGACCTCATGATCCACCTGCCTCAGCCTCCCAAAGTGCTAGGATTACAGGCATGAGCCACCGTGTAATATGCTTCTTGAAGAACTCCAATGGGGCCCCTAAATTGCATAGACCTGGGCTTGCCGCATGACTGACTGTGTCACTAAGCGGGTGAGTGTCCTTCTTTGTGTGAGGTCCAGAGGGGCCTCTTTCTCTCCTCTGTCCCTAGCCCTAGAGAATGGCCTTCACATTCTGCCTTAATCGGTCCAGGGTGGGACCGCAGCATCAGTGTTGTGTTAAACTCCTTAGGTAATTCTAATGTACAGTCAGGGTGAAGAACACTTGTCTATACCATGCCCTGCTGTTGACTTGGATTTTTCCTTTTGGAAAAAATTAGAAAATCCTCGTGGCCATCCGGTTTCAAAGTCCTAACTACCTGGAATATTTGTACTAATCCCTAGCAAATCTCCAAGCAGCCTCCCCAGTTTCTGTTACCTCACTCCACCTGCTGTACGTGCACACAAGAGCCAGAGTGTGGAGTGAGGGCATTTACAGACAAGACTTGTGGGAAGGGGTCACTCTGCAAGGTTCACTTGGCAGGGGGTTCTCTGGGTTCACTGTGGACCCTCTCCCAGCAGAGAGTTTGTATGCACAGAGAGGGTATTCCTGTCCCCACAGAAGGAGGCCATGTAGACTGACTGTACCCTGGGTAAGCTTGGAAACTCTTCTGGAACCTTTTTTCCATGCTAGAATAGTGTCCAGGGAGGCTGTGTTGCCTTCTGGATAGAATACTCTACAATTGCTTTCTTTTATTTTTATTTTATTTTGTTTTTTAAGGCGGAATTTCGCTCTTCTCGCCGAGGCTGGAGTGCAATGGTGCGGTCTCGGCTCACCGCATCCTCCACCTCCCGGGTTCAAATGATTCTCCTGCTTCAGTCTCCCATGTAGCTGGGATTACAGGCACCCACCACCACGCCCAGCTAATTGTTCTGTATTTTTAGTGGAGACGGGGTTTCACCATGTTGGCCAGGCTGGTCTCGAACTCCTGACCTCAGGTGATCCATCTGCCTTGGCCTCCCAAAGTGCTGGGATTACAGGCATGAGCCACCACGCCCAGCCTACAGTTGCTTTTCTAACATTGTTTATTAGCAGAAGACTAGAGTAGTTCAAAGAACAAATTGGCCAGAAAAAGCTGACTAGAAAAAAAAGTTGTCTTTTTTAAAATTCTTTTCTTTTTAA